CATGCGCTCGGCGTTTGTTCACAGGTTACTAAATAAAGAGAAGTGAAGCTGGGCAAACAGGGACAGGGCCATCAAAACTTCAATGTCATGGGACATGCCCAGTGAACATCAACCAAATAATGTCAAAAATTCACTCTACACACACACTGATAGTAACTTCTCAAATGACATTGTCATGGCTGGGATCATATCTTATATTTTGATTTTCATTGTTTATGATCAGTTCTTTAGATTGAATGACAAAAAACATGTATACCTCGAAGTGATGCTATGAACTGTGGGTGTTGGCATATCGCTTGGAGTGTCTTCCATGGTGGTGACCTGGGTTCCATTGCTTTTCACACAGGCATATTTTGTGCAGACTTCGACCTGCAAATAGTAATTGAGAAAAGCATGGATCCAATTATTTTCAAAATCCAGACTGTCAATGACTGAATCTCACCCACCTTCATGTCATATGAATCTCTTAACAGCCTGTCGGGGTTAATTAAATATTAATTTTTGGTGTTAATTGACTCCAGTGGGACAAGTCATAGAGTGCAAGAATAGAGTGCAGAAGTGGGCTCAGGACAATTGATTTAGTGACTTAAATGGTGATGTGTAGTCCCTCCTCCCAGCCATTCAGAAAGAGACAGACATATTGATCTATTCGGAGCCCAGGTAAGGGATAGAAGATGCCTAGGGGACAGTTTGCGAGCATAACAGTCATCACTGTGTACTGCTCTCAGAGCCATAACCAGGTAGTATAATAATGGTACCTTCTGGGAGTCTTGACACTTTCCAACACATGGTCTAAATGCAAATGTCTAATAAAAAATAAAAAAAACACAAGACCTAGAGAAGACTTCCAATATGGCTGAGTTCTTTTATATCCATTTGATCCAGTATTTTTACCTTAATCCCAGTAGAAACTCATCATTTACTTTTTAAATTCTGCCCTGGCAGCTGAACAAAAACCGAGGAGGGTTTAAAAATTGGGTTCATCAAGCCTTATTAAAACAAAAGAACACGTTCAGCAAGAGGAGGAGAGAGAATTGAATGTACAAAAGATCGAGCCTGGAACATCCAAGAAATGACATCATTCTGTTCTCAATTCAAGGATAAACCAAAGAGGAACTAGCTGTTCCTTTCCCAATGCTAATTGACTTCCATTCATTGATGCCACCGAGTATTTTGAGGTAATATCTAGTAGATATTTAAACACTATCAAGGCCGTCCAATTAAACCTCAAATCACCTCAAGGCAGATGAACTTAAAAGATACCTGCTGGTAATGGAATTAATGACAATAAAACTCCATGCATATTAGGGAACATTTGACTCTGTGCATAATGAGGTAACTCAAAATCAACTCAACTGAATTTATTATGTAAATGATACGTGCCAAACGTTATAATGGGTACTTACAGCAATAACTTCACTGAGTCCTCACAATTCCATTTTCATATGTTTGCAAACTGAGGGTCAGAGAAATCAGGGAATCTGACTGAGTTGGTAAGATAGGAGATACCTTATTTGGGCTTTAATATACCCCATCGTCTTGTCATCTAAATATAAAGTATACCTTTAAGTTCTAAACAGCTTAGGGGTCTTCAAATGAATCTCTCCAGAAGTTCTTTATTTTGACTTTGGAGAAATATGTCAATATTTTTTTTTCTCATTCTTATAAATGCTAAGATAACTCGGGTGAAGTCATGGAAGTCATGGGGTAATTAAAAATAATGTATGTCACTGTCCTCATCACACTTTTCCCCATATTATCATCACTCTCTTCTCTCCAGGGATTCACCTGTTTGTCCACCGTGCACAGGTTTAACCCTGATCAGCTTCCCTCTTTCCTCTCTCCTTCCCCACCAAACACATCACCTGTAACCAAGATGGAAGGTAGACACTTGGAGACACACCCCGGCATGTTTTCTTTCACAGACCCACGAGCGTAACCATCGAAAAGCAAGGTGCTAACCTGAATGTCATAGACAGTGAAGGGAGACAGGTCTGGTAGGAGGAGGGACCCGGGCACATCCATCCCCGTCTTGTGGAGCCGCTTGTTTACACAGACAGAATATTCAGTGACGACGCCATTTGGGCTGGAAGGCGACGTCCAGATGACACGTGCAGCTGTGCTGTTGATGATGACAACCTCTGGAGGAGGCATGCCCTGAGGCTCTGGAATTAAAGGGGAAAAATGGAATAAACTCCAGCTGTCTCTGCAAAAGCACTTATTAGAGCGAATGCAGATGAGTATTTGGGTTTCGCGAAGGGGGCGTTGCGTATCGGCTCTCCACTGATGAAGTTATCACAGGCTTATTATACTCTCAGTTAGAAACCATGAGAATTGGTGGTAAAAGGCTTTCCTCCACTGGCGTACTGCTAATCTTCGATGCTCTGTGACCAGTGGGGTACGATGATAAATGACTCACCCATCTGCACCACTAACACAGCTATTACTTGTCTCCTCTCCTATCCCTTCACCTCGTACCTCCCAAGAAGGGGGGAGGGGGGGAGGAAATTCGCTCCTTAAGCAAAAAATAAAACTCAAATACATCGAGGCTGGTGGGACGTGAAAAATCATTTGCTGTGGCTAGCTTGTAGCTCAAGCAATATGAAGCGATAATGCAATATTGTCATTATGCAAATGATTTTGAATGTTGATTACCATAGGTAATGATGAAATCCAGCATTAGAAAAAGAGCCTTGCTTGGCGTTAAATTACACAATTACTCGAGCGTGTCAGAAATAACTACGTGGAGACCTATTTTTATCTTAAGAACCCATCTTAACTGGTTGAAAAATTGTCCTTGTGATCCATTCTATTTTAAAAACAAAAGGTGCCGACCTCGGGCACCTCCGAGGGAAATGGGTTCCTCACTTAAAGTGCTCTCCTAATGACCTGGAACACTTGCTTGGGAGGTAATGATATTATAATGTTTATAATGAGACTTTATAAAGCCAAAAAGATTAGAAAGACCATTCCAAACTCATTTCAGATGCACAAGTTGCCTTTCTCTGCATCCTCCCCCTCGCTAGCTGGCTTCGGAGTGAGTCACAGGCAATTTTTCTCAGGGGCTGAACTTCCACCCACCATTTCTGGTGACTCAGGGAGGGCCCTCACTGGCTTGGCTGCCACGGTGAAAAGCATCCTGTTTTTGAGAGCAAATCTTTGTGGGGGGGAAAAAAGTCTCTAAATGTCACCATTTATTGATGGGAACTCGGCTCCAAACTAAGCTTCCACGGAAAAGAACAGGAACAAATGGGGCTAATGTCCCATTATGAGAGCCCGGGCTGCTGTCTCAATGGGACCGCTTATTGATCCGCCACTCGATGACAGCAAGCACTTAAGATTTTAGCCCCGACCCCCTTCCCTCCAACACCGGAAATTTTATAATGGAGGGCTGACTGATCTCAGCCTCGGCAAGAATCAATCAATTTCACTCGAATCCCTGAAGCCCAGCGAGCATCCCTTGACACCTGGACTCACCCCCATCGCGAGTAGTTGCGTACAGGACATCGCTGGTGATGCTGTGGACACCGTTGAAGACAGAGATCAAAATCCGATACTCCGTGTTTGGACTTAAGTGGCCAATGACATGAGCGTTTACATCTGGGAGGATTTTCAGAGATTCATTTGAGGTAGCAGAACTCCAAAAAAGCATATAATACTCAACGTCACCTTGTAGGTCTTGAAAAGCTGTTAACGATAAACACACAACACCTTCAATGTGGCTGACCTAAAAGGGCCTCAGGGGGAAAAAGACAGAATAAACTCTATGATTTGCTACTCCTAGGATGGGATGGAAGAAAGCATATGGAACCTTCCTTATGGTTGTAATTAAAACTTTTTTTGAGCCCACAACCCGGGCATGTGCCCTGATCGGGAATCGAACCATCACCTCCTGGTTCATAGGTCAATGCTCAACCACTGAGCCATGCCAGCCAGGCAAGAGAACAATTACTAACATTGCAAGAAGTAGGTGGCCTTGCCCAGAGGTGTGACTAGGTAATGTCCTTAGGAGAGTAGGCTGCATAGGGAGGAAAATGATTATGCAACAATCCTTCCCATCGCCGACCCACCTCCACGAGGTAACCTTGGTGCCCACAAACAGGTACCTGAAAAATGTCTAAGGTATGAGTGGGAATAGCGGCAGATTGCATTACCTACATCCCGAAGGTCAGAGGCGCGGATGGTCCAGGTAATGAAACCTCAGCGAGCTGCTTCAGATCTATTAGGTCTGTCGGTTTTTATAAGCAGGCTCTCTTCAGGCATGCAGTTATAACATGAGGGGCCTACAGGCGGGAAATTCAGCAGCTGGACCGCAACAGAAGCATCCAAATGCCAGCTGGGGGAGGGGGTGCCTGCCTTCATGAGGAGGCACTTAAGATGGATCAGGCAGGGAAAGAATAGAGAGGAAGAAGGAGATGAGAGAAAATGTATTCTACTGTACAGAAGACTCCAGCTCCAGATGAAAACTGTGTATTTTTCCCAGAGGTGTCTCAGAGGGCATCATAAGTGTCAATTGACCGACATTCTTCCATCTAAACGGCTTAAAATCCCAACAGAAGGGACACTGAAGACCTTATAAACACCCCAGAATGATAGTCTTTTGCAGAAGTGGATGACTTACTGGCACCGCAGATCAACACAACCAATACTAACTTTAATTTACAATGAATGTCACCTGATACTGGTTTCAATTCACGACTGATACAACATTGGGGCAGGTTCACACAGAGGTTCTAAAATGAAATAGGAAGTGTGCCTCCTCTTAGGCTGTAACAAAACTCAAGACTGGATCAGAATCCCAATGGGAAGTAAGTTCACACCTTTCTGTATTACAGTAGATGACAACCCGAGTGGGTGCAGTTTTCTTGCATTAAGCATATAGTTGAATTGGGCTTTGTAAGTTCCATATTTCTCAATATTTGGTAACATTCTAGCAAGTTTTGATTCAATTATTTGCCAGGTTTGAAGTAATGCTTAGAGGAATGATTATAATTCATATATCTATGATATTGATAGATACAGTATTGTTTTTTTAATATATCTTTATTGATTTCAGAGAGGAAGGAAGAGGGAGAGATAGAAACATCAAAGATGAGAGAAACCTTGATCAGATGCTTTCTGCACACCCCCTACTGGGGACTGAGCCTACAACTCAGGCATGTGCCATGATCGGGAATCGAACCATGACTTCCTGGTTCATAGGTCGACACTCAACCACTGAGCCACACTGGCTGGGCGTTTTTTTTTGTTATTTTCTGATGGAGATAATGTATCGCTGTGAATTAAAGGTCAGCTCTTAAATGATCCTCTACCGGCCAAGCAGATCTGAAATTTCAGCTACTGCAGTTTCTAAGTTGCCGGGAAGACTGGATCTATCTGCAAACTCTCCTCACCGCCTGCACAGAGGTGATCTGCATGGGGCCAGGGTGAGCCCTGTGTCACTGACACACGTCCAGTACTGACAACCAGGCTCCCTTTCCTGTCTCAGGCTGGAATCCCGCCTATGACCAGGGCTCACTCACATTACCGCCCCCCTCGGAAACGGCTCTCGCTAATAAGGCGTGAGTGACAGACGTAGGGGCGAGTTCTCTGCAGGGAAGTGTGCGTACAATGGGATGCGGTTTCCAATGCATACCCGGGCATTTCCATCACAGCTGCTGGGCACCACAGTCCAACCCAAAGGGGACAGTGTAAGGGAGAGAAGGCCCAGGAGGAGGAGGAAGAGGAGGAGGAGGAGAAGGAAAGAGAGTCGGCCTCTGAAGAACAGCACAGGGACCTCGGCTTTTGGTGTTTTGACTTTGGAACCTGTTCATTTCAGATTCACGGCGGTACTAACGCATTAAGGGGAGATAAACACACGACGAGCAGCTTGCTTACTCGGTTTATCCCACCGCACGTCGAGGGCCGAGTGGTTGAGGACAGTCACGGAGACCCTGGCTCCTCTCTGCGGCAGGCCAGCCCACGTCGTCACCGTCGCTTCCTGGCTGGGTGTGAAACCCACGCTGTTGTGGACAAAAACTTTATATGCGTACGTGGTGAACCTACAAGGTTTGTAGAAGAGACACATAGACATTTCTCTTGTACAGGAAACAAAACACAATTTCCTTGTTCCTCAAAAATACAGGACTTTTCTGCACAAAAGGCACAATTTTCTTTTTCCTCTTAACAGTATACATGATCTTCTTTTTCTACACACACACACACACACACACACACACACACACACACACACACACACACACAATCACACACACACACACACACACACACAAAATCCTTATTTTTTTGTAACTCTTGAGCTTTAACCAGTCTCAGGAAAGTACTTTATTAGGATCACAAAGCACAGACGGCTATTAAAAACCAGCGTGGTTTATCGTCTCCCCCTCTCACTGTTTTGGGAAGTGATGAGGATTAAGACCCGTTCAAGATGCAGCTGCAAATCTGGCCAGTTTTCTATCTTCATTCCATCGGAGAGTTTCACGCTCCCCTTCTGGGAAACGCATCCATTTTCAAACATCAGAATCTCTCCTCTCCATCCTCTTCTTGTACCTACGCTTCTTCCCCCACATCTCATGGGCAGAGAGATAAACCCTTAAATTAAATCCTAATTGGGGAAGGGAGCAATGTCCCCCGGTGGGAGTCTGGCCGCAGTGAGCCCTCTTCTGCCTTCGTGGGAAGATAGTTACTTGAGTTAACCCTGTGGAAACGGAATCTTGTTTTGTAGGTGGAGGAAGCCTGAGGCTGTGATGGGGACTTTCCAGGTCACACATTAAATGGATGAGTCAAGACACTGATCCTTGACTGGAATTGAACCCGGAACCCTTCAGTAAGAGGGCCGATGCTCTATCCACTGAGCCAAAGGGAACAGGGTTACCTATGGTTTTTAGCAAGTGCTAAATAGTCTACATGACTACGACACGTGAGAAGGAGTAACCATAGTATTTACTGACTATTTAACGCGTGTTAGGAAGTTTCTACATGTACTAACTCATTAGCTCCTCACAATGACTAGGAAGTGCTACGATGATACCTATTTTGAAAAGGAGGCAAGTAAGGCTCAGAGTTAGATCACTTGTTTAAGTCGTCAAGGTAGTAGGTGGGGGAGAACAAATTCAAACCTGGACAGTCAGATCCCAGAGCCTGCTCTTCTGACCATCACAGTGATGGCAACAGTAATGCCAATCATAATGAGGACCTGATCTGTCCATACTCGGATGCTGGCATATAAATGGGGCTTGAACTTGAGGTATTTTTTCTAGCGAAGGGGATGGATTTTTGCTTACACATCCAAACAGCCTCGCCAAATTTCTTGTGTCACCACTAGTAGGAATTGGAAGGATGGGGAGTTGGGGTTAAGAGGGTAGCAAGTCTGTGACAATCGAATGAAACGAAGCTAATGGCTCTCATGGGAATTGAACCTGCGACCTCAGCTTCATTAGCTCTCCCCTCTGAGTAAAATACTTCTAATTGTGTTTTACTCCACAACCTGGCTTAAAAGAAATTTAGCTAGGGTCAGGGTGCCTAATCTCCTACAAAATTTGAATTTTTCTTCCACATATCTGTTATTATATATTAAGTAATCTTTATGGCTTTAAAGTGAGTCATTTTTTTTGACTCTTTTCTATAAGTGAAATTAACAGCACCAGATGGCACTAAATGGGTGAATTGTAAATAAATTCTGTAAGTCCTTATTTCTTCCAGTGATACATGAAGCTATTTCATTATAACTTAGGGATGGTGAAATGTACAATTTATGCCTGCGTAACAGAAATGTAGGTCACGTAGATATGCGTCATTAGAATGACCGTTTTCAAAGTGATATTACAATTTTAGAGAGAGCTTTAGAGCTTATTTGCTTCAAATAATAAAATTAGCTGCTGCCACATTTTACAGATAAGAAAACTGAGGCCCTGCGAAGGTAAGTGGCTTTGCCTAAAGATACACAACTAGTTAAGGTGACTGAGTCTCCAGTCTCCTCATTTCTAATATTTAATGCTCACCACTACCCATGGTTTTATTTAAATGAGAAATCAGCAGGCATCTTACTTGACGTCATGCATTTGTCTTCAGCATTTTCTTTAATTTCCCTGGTGAAGTTAAAATTTAAGGAAATAGCACCTTGAGATCTTAGATAAAATACTTCCTTACACTGTTTTCATTGTACCTGAGACCTAATCTTTATGCAAGTATACAGACCCATGGCTCTATATGTCAGTTTATATATATTTCACTTACATTTACAAAGAATGTGTTAGTGTGCTTACAGTGTTTTTAAAGTCACTTCGGGTATGTTGATTATTATTATTATCATATGGGACATTCCACTTAGCTAATAATAAAAAATACTTTTAAAAGAAAAATGCTAGATTAATGGGCTTCATATACTCATGCGAAACTTATGGATATCAACTTCTTCTCAAAATATTGTGTTCCCTACATTTGTCTTGAAAAATGTACCATTTCAAACCCTGTAGGAAACAGGTTTTTTTTTTTTGAAATCTGAACAGTGAACTAACTTCTATTGAGTCTATACTGTAACTAATAAAACCAATTGTTTGAAGGCCAATTTAGAAATTCCGGACTGTCATGGAGTTATTCCCTAAATGATTAATTTGTTGAGACCATCCTCAAGGCCCTCCCTTTACCAACACACAGAAAATGGTAAACTTATTGCATTATACACATGACTATGGCGTTTTTCCTTGTAAAACATAATATATATTGAAATCTTATTTCTAGAACCATACTCCTCTCAAGGTTCAGTTGCTATTATTCAAGTGAAGTACCAAACCAGGTTCACTTGAGATGATGGTTTTTAATCTGTTTACTTACTGAGTAGGTAAGTTAGATAAATGAATGAATGGATGGATATTTCAGCTGATTCAGTCCAGGAAGAGAGAGGGCAGGGAAGCCCAATAGGAAACTTCTAGTTCAAGACTCAAAGGATGATCACTCAGACGGGGAGATGCCAGCAATGGGAGCAGTTGGGGAGCAAGGGGTGCATGTGAGCTGTGCCAGGAGAAATGCTGACGTGGACCGAGCACAGAGGCCAGGTGAGGAGGCGGTGGCACATGAGGCCGGTGCTCAGTATTCAGAGCAGAGTCTACAGTATTCAGTACTGAGCCTACAGGAGTAACCTGATAGGAAAGATGTCTGCAACGTTTTCTTAAAGGAATACCTGTGGTGCTTTAGAATTTAATTACGTTGCTTGGACTCATGAAGGGGTAGAAATCCTCTTATCCCATTGAATCGCCTCATTTTATAAACAACTAAGGTGAAGCCATTTCCATTTTGAAAATTAGGACAAAGAGGGTAGGTGAGGTAGAGTAAAGAACCCAGAGTCAAACAGAAATTGAACAAAAGGATTAAGTGTCACTGTGGTACTTTGAACTATTCAACATGCTCCGAGCTCAATGCTAGCACTTGTTTTCATAGTTTCGTAATCTCACCTGCTAAGACCCTTATCTTCATAAAACCGCTGGGTTCCTGAGTAAATATTGTGCCACAGATTTAAATCTTCTGGGGGATTTGATGCAAGTGGCTGCTGGATTTTACGTCTCAGAAGCTCATATCTAAAGCAAAAGACAAGCAGAAACACTGGGATTATCTCAACTCACGTTATGACCAAAATTCCGGTGTTTCGTGGGATGAGTATGTGATGTGTGCCTGTGACTGTAAAGAACACATCTTCATTGACGATTACAGCGTTTTTTGAGATTATTATTTTTTCCTGACTCAAGTTTCAAATAGTCAACTATTTTGAACCCACCAACTCTATTCGCACTTTTCTGCTATCGGTGAGAACGGTCACATTTTAGATTTCTTGTGTGTCAGGTTTGCCGAGACTTTCTTGCCAGTTTTACACAAAGTAGAAATACAAAATGCTTATGAAGTTAATGATTTTCTAAGACTTCAACCGTCATTCCTTTATAAACAGTGATAATATTATCAACCCCACAGCCTTGGCTAAGGGTCAAGCCACTTGAGAACCACCCTTTTCTTACTTCTTATCCGTGTCCCTGACTACATTCTCTACAGGTTTCCAGGTAATAACACCATACCAAAGCATTACGTGCTGGCTTTGGAATTTTGAAACACATTTGTGTAAATGTATCCTTTAGAACATGCATCAAGTTTTCCCAACATATAATAAAAATACACTTTGAAAATCAAGGAAGGACTAGGTCAAGAATCATTAGAGAACAATGGTTGTTGTTTTAA